CTTCACCTGCCAAGAGCCAAGAAATGTGTGTGAGCAAAATTAAAAGAAAAAATAGATTGTTGAAAACTCTTCTAATGACGTCCACCTCTTACAGTTCTGAATGCTTCACTTACTATCTTATAAAAATAACCTCTTTATTTTATGAGGGCCTGGCAAGGAGATGGGATACTCTTCACATCTTTGGCCATGAATCCTCTAAAACAGGAAGTGGACGCCAGAAGAATGAGGAGGTCAGGAGTCAGGGAGGTGGAGCAACCTCTTCATTATAAACCTTTATTAGTGTTGTTTTGTCTTGACTAAAAGAAAAATTATATATATCTGTTTTTAAATGATTCTCCCCTTGCTTTGCCCTGGACCCACCACTCCACCCTGGCTCAGTCCTGGGACCTCTCTCAGCTGGTTTCCTGTGGGTGCGATGGGCCTCAGAGGTCATCTTCTCAGGACACAGGGCATCAGAGAGGTCAAGTGATGTGCTGAGGTCACATGGCAGCTCTTGGACTTCCGTGGAGGCTCCGCCTCCATTGGTTCAGCTCCAACCACCCATCTGTGGCTCCCAACTGTATTCCACCTGGAAAGACAGTTTGTTTTCTGATCATAACCCATGTATGAATGCTGTGGGACCCTCTTCTTGAGGGGAGGTACAGGGGAGGAACACAGGGTCTCCTAGCCTGGAGAAGGAGGACAGCGTGTCCTGAGATGGGGCTGTAGCAGTGATGACACCCTCCAGCCTGACTGTGTCAGGTTCGATATCAAGCATGTCCCACGCATTACCTCACTGACTCACAGCATCCCATGAAGCAGTTAGGATCACTCTCCACAACTCCAGCCCGTGTTTACAGAAAAGAAGTAGATTAACTTTGAGAGTCAGGATTGACTACAAATCTTGGGATTCACCCTGTGACTGATACACAGCCTATTCAATCTTTCATGTGAATTTAGAGATCAGGACACTTTAAAGGCTATACACTTTAGGTGTAGGGAATGTTTGGAAACAAATTTATTTACTTCTGATATGTTGTGCCTGCTGGTTTCTCTCTGGGCACTAAGAGAAACTCCAGAGGGAACTCAGGCTAAGGAGAAGGCAACAGGAGATGAGAGGAGAACTTTAAACTGGGCAGAAACAGGAGGAGAGACAGGCAATAGATAGGCCCTGACTTCAGAAGGCAGGACAGTCTGTCCACCCTTCATCGGGGCTTACTGAGGCCTCCTGTTGAGGGCAGTTCCAAGTCTACCCACTTCCACGGAGGCCACCCACAAAGACAAGTGTCCTGCTCTGGAGAAACTAGAGGACACCACATTTACTTGACAATCCAGGTGGCACATGAGTTCCCAACAGACTGAGCCGTGCCGATTGTGGAGCTGTGCCCAGAAAGTCAAAGGTCAAACCGCTGACGCAGTATGATTTCTTGTTGTGAAATGAAGACCATAAAATAGCCTACACTAGAGAATGGTCTGGAGAAAAATGCCGCAAAGTTGGCAGGGGCCATTTCTGGGGTCTGGGAGGGGGGCCTTTTCACTCTATGAGTTCTCTACGTTTCTACAACATTCAAACAGTTAACAGTGACTATGCAAAGCTCAACCAGATAACAAATAAAATACGTTGTTTTTTTTTTTTTTTTTTTTTTTTTTTTTTAAGATTTTATGGTTTGTTAATCCTCTGGTGAAAAAAATCCACACAATCATGACAGATCAAGTCACAGCAGAATCTGTATTCCTTCTTTTTGCCAGTTCCCTTGATTTTTTTCATTCAATTTTTGCGTTCTTTGCACTGTTTTCTTGAGCTTTTTTTATTTTCTCATACAGGCCATGTCTTGAAAATTTGTGTTTGGTTCATTTTTCTTTACCTAACCCAAGGAATCGTAGATCATGCCAAAGCCTTGCCAAAGTCTTGCCACCACCAAAGTGGGTTCTGAATCCAAACACAAAGATGACATTTGGTGCCTTATACATTTTGACAAATTTTTCCTGAATTTCTGTCTTAGTATGGTTGCCTTCCCGGGGTAAAGGACATTAATGACCATTTGTTTCCTCTGAAGTAGTCAGTTGGTCATGAAATTCCTGGTCCGGGTGGTTGTTGTTGTTGTTAAGTGCCATCGAGTCGGTTCCGACCCATAGCGACCCTGAACAGGGTTTCCAAGGCTGTAAATCTTTACGGGAGCAGAAAGCCTCATCTTTCTCCCGCGAAGCAGCTGGTAGTTTCGAACTACTGACCTTGAGGTTCACAGCCTGATAGTTACTGTGTTATTCATGATGACGGCTTATGCTCAGGCAGCCAGGGAGGAGATGTTATCATGGCTGATTGCAATTGTCACAATTGTAAAGGTAGAAGTTTTGTAACAAAAATGGGGAGTAGTTAATCTTACAGCCCAAAAACAGAGGACCCTAGGACCATCAAGGGAGAAGGGCACAAGCAGAATGCAGGACCCTATCCAGAGAAGCAGCGACACCAGAGATGGAGGCAGAGACGAAGACATGGAGAGAGGGAGCAGCTGAGGACTCTAGACTCATGAGAAGAGAAAGGCTGTGTGCTGGCAGCCAGGAGGCAGGCTTGCAGAATGTGCCCTTTGGTTGTTTAAATGATTATATATTCCTGAGTGTTTTTGTGTACACCCCTCCTCTCCCAAAACAAAAACAAACCCCAAAAACAGAGGGCATAGAAGCAAATGCTGCTGAACGATGATGCACTGAGGAGATTGCAGTCATTGCAATGAAACGATGGTGTAAAACCAATGTTTTCCCATGTAAACTATTACTCAATTCACAATAAAAACTTAATTAAAAAAAAAAGAGGGGAGACACTGCCCTGTGTCCATCATTGTTTCCAAACTTTTAAAGAGGGCTTCAAATTGGTTCATTCTGGTTCAACTCCCTGCTGAGAAGTTGAATTTCTAACCCAGATATACTGACTCAAAAATCTACATCTTAACAAAATCTTGCATGGAAATTTAAGATCAGTGTATCTAGGATGGAAATGCAAATTATCTGCAGGGAGTTGAACCCCCAATGAAGGAATGAACCGGTTTGAAGACCTACTTCATAAACAACCAGACTATGCAGGGAATGTCCTACCATCATTACCAGGAAGTACTTACGTGTCATAAAAGATTTTATCCAGCATGTGTAAGGTTAGTTATTAAAGACACGTTGTGGATCCTTTCAGATAAAGTGCTATGTTTCACTTGAGGCTTGAAAATCTAAAGGGTTTTTTCCTTGGACTTTGCACACTCTTGTTAGTTGAGGGAAAAAAAGAAAGAAATCAAGGGGGGGAAACTGTGTGATTTGGTTTTGTTTTTGTGAAGGTATCAGCTCTTAGACTGGAAACAATTTTGACAACTGCTTTGCCCTCCTTATCTTCAAATGGAAGAAAAGAGGTTCCTGCTATAATTCTGACAAAGTGAGCAAAGGAGCTTGGGGAAGGTGCAAATGGCAGATTGAATGCATGACCCAAAAAACCTAGGTGGAACTGAGGGTTTGGGAAGGATACGAATAATGCCTGTGGGCTTCCTGGAAGAAGTAGACTTGGAGCTAGCCCCAGAAGGCTTGGAAGCAGAGTTGATTAGAGAGGAGGGAATCTCAGGCGGGGAGGCAAATTCAGCAGGAGGACAGATACGGGCCTATACTGGGGTCCACTCTTTCTTTCCCCTTTCCCTGAGAAGAAAGAGAGTTGGGGTCTCTGCCAGGAACCATGACCCCAGCTCTGAGGGGGTGCAGCACAGAGCTGGGAGGCACAGCCTACTCCAACTCTGGACTCTGCCCAGGCATTTCCTGCTGAGACGAGAAGACAGGCCAAGGCACCGAGGGTCAGACCTGGGCTCCTCCATCGCTCCTGAGAGCACCTTGTTCCTCCTGTAGGTGAGTAGGAATGGGATCCATGTCTCTCCTTGCAACCAGGTGTGTGTGAGTGTCCTGCCTGTGCTCATGTGACTATGTGTACACAGGTAACTGGGCTTTCCTGGGCTCTGCGTGTGTGTGTGTGTGTGTGTGTGTTTACTTGTACGCCTCTAGATATGTCATTTCAACCAGGCTGGAATTTGTATAGCATATGGTGCTCCCCAAGGACAAAAAGGAAACAGAGTAGGCAGTTGGCGGGGTGGAATGTTAGTTAGGTCTGTTGTTTAGAAATGAATTTAAGCCAATGAAATGAGCGTCAGCATAAAAGGGGATACAGTGGCTTTTGTAAGGAGCACTAGTAGTGCAGTGTTTACAATTCAGGCTGCTAATGTCATGGTCAGCAGTTAGAAACTTCCAGCAGTTCCTCAGGAGAAAGATGAGGCTTTCTGCTCCCATAAAGATTTACAGCCTCAGAAACCCTCTATAGGGTCACTCAGAGTCGGAACCAATAACCACCACCCCAGTGGCTTTTGTAATTCAAAAGCACAAGGGTAGGACTGGTTTCAGGTATAGCTAGGTTCAGGGATTTGAATGTTTTCTTCAGGATATTGTCTCTTTATCCTTTTGTGGTGGAAAGTATGAGAGGCCTTCAAAAAAGTTAATGAAAACATGTCATGATCTTTTCATGTTCCCCCAACTTTTTGAAGCCCCCTTGTATTACACAGTGGAGATATCACTTACTAGCCATTATTTTTAACCTTTTGTAGGGAGTAATAAAAGCCAGGGCTTTTCTTCAGAAAAATGCCTCATCAGACGTGACCACACGCTGTACATAATTCCTTATTTTCCTTACCTCCTTCTGCTTGGCCTCCCAGAATTTATAAGGGATTGCCTCTCACAAGTGCTAAAGTGAATGAACGAGGGCCTCATATAGCATCTTCCTCTGAGTGTGGAGGGAACCAAGGTTGTGGCCTCCACACACAGTGAGAGTAGAGTTTTGAGGGGATGTGAGTGGTCGCCAGGCAGGACTTTGGCTGTATCAGGCATCCGGTCCCTCATCCAACCATCTCTCCTTTCCTAGTCTCCCATGGGGTCCCTATGGGTCCTACCTGATCTCTCCCTTTTAGCTGTGGACCCTGAATTTGTCTTTCAGCTGGAAGATCTGGAACATGGAGGAAGATCCACCACAACCAAGAGAATCTGTCTCTCTCACACCCATGGCCAATGGTCTGGAGAACATGGGCGCTGAGT